GTTTTACATCTGGTTTTATAAACTTTGATTAGTTTATAAAACCTCGTTAACAATATTAAATACAATTCACTAAAAAATATAACTTAGTTAAAAGAAAACATTTAAAAGATTACTTGTATACAATATCAAAAAGAGTTTAAAATCTTACGTTAACAAAAAAGGCATTCACTATTTTGACTCAGTTATTTTTTTATTATTATTAATACTTAAAAACCAAAAGGATAAAAAGAAATATTCACCGAAATTTTACACTGAAAGTATCAAGTTCATACTATGATGATTACGCTAATGCGTAGCAATTTTTAACTGAATTGAAAAAAATAAAGTTCTCTGACTAGTCGTCGTTAATTGTATAAATCCGTGTCTCTCGTAAAAAAGAAATGTTTTTAATGATAAGAGAAATCCTATTGTTGATCTTAAAAAAAAAAAATCCTTTTTTAATATTACTCCACTATTTACATAAATATTTTAACTTTGTATGTCCCAAGTACTTAAAAACGTGACAAAATAATAATACTAAGACCATTAAAAATAACAAACGAAAGAGTTCAAAAGCTCATAGTATATTTTATGTAAAAAAAAGTATAATAAGCTCCATTCTATTACACTCTTGGACAATAGCTGAACCCATGAATTTTCTGAATGTCACAACTTGATAGCATTCATACCTAAAATATCTGCTATTAGAAAAAAGGTCATTTTATTTTTACCCCTATTTGTTTACTTTACATTCTGACTGTTAATGAACATTTTTTTGAGATCACTTGAGTGTTATATCATTATTCTTTTACGTATAATTATTACATACTAAAATAACATTTTAAATACGATTAGGGAGACATTGTGTTGATAAACGTACTTGCTATTTCGCGTAAAACATTAGGCACTTTTGTAAACATAATTTAGCTGTTACATAATACTTTTCAGTATAATCATTATGTAACATTTATTTAATTAAAACAGTTTTATAAGTGAATGATAATCAGTCACTGATTTTCCAGTGTCATCATATGACTTTATAAGGGTCTTTTTATTTTTTGTTTTAGTAAAAGAGAACTTTCTTTTACTTTTCAACAACACTTGTAAGGTTCTTAGAGCGCGGAGCTCTAACAAGTGCATTGACGTTTGCCTTCCATCAGTGATGTTTATACCAGTTAATTTTAAGTATATATTTGTTTGATCTTTGAGTTACTATTAATAATATTCATAGACCACATATGATATACATGTACTTGCTTATAGCTGAATATAATAAATAACTAAATTTTTATTTTAATATACCCATTCAACCCAACTCATAATCAAAAATAAAACATGACCTAAATTAACTTAAGAAGTGAATATTTGTTAACAATTGACCCTCTTTTATTTTTTTAGACTATTTTCAACTATGAAAATATTATAAACATGTTATAAAACACATTTAATAAAAGTTTTCCTACTGACTACCTCAACAAGTTTAAGGATAAGTTGTACAACATTTACATGCAAAATGATTGTTAATTTTCCAAATATATCATTAAATCATTAAATCATTAATGACATTAATTTATTGTTTTTATAAAAGAATAATAATTATACATGAATTAACTTTTAGACTACCGCTGATTGTTCATTAAAACTGTACATTATAATGAATACAATAATAAAAAAAAACGTTTTATTTTAGTAAAACGTCACAGAAGTATATTTTTAATAATTTTGTTAATGATTATCGAACTATAATATTTACATAATAAAAGCTATAAAAAAAAAAAAAATTGTTATTATTAAACTATTTATAAACCAATAAATAAATGAAATAATATTCAATAATGAAAACTTTATTGATAATTGTTGGCGAATAATATTAAATAATACACATTGATTTTTGTATAGATGGATTTTTTTTTATTTCATTAGTTTTGGAATGTGATTATTATAGATAATTTTTACGTTCATTAATTTTATTTTATATAAAAAATATAAAGATTACGTTTATATTATGTTCTCATGGTCACATTACACAACAAAATTTTTATCATAGATAATGATAATAATCTAACTGTCCTTAATACATTTAATCAATTATAATATCAAGCTTACTTTACTATTTAATTGATTCAGTCATTTAAAAATATCTGGAATTAAATGTTTTGTATAGACCGAGATATATAACGATAAGAATTAAAAATACCAGTGAGTAACTACATATCCAAATTTTATTGATTGATTCTTTGGCATAATTATGGTAGTGATATGGGGCGTTGCGCGGTGGTCACAATAGACCAAACCAGGTTGACAAAACTTTAATGTTAAGCCACGACTACGCTGTAGGTGAACGGATGGGTGACCGTACTTGCGCTTTTACAGTGGCGAAAAAGGACTATTATAAAGTCATTGTGTCGAATGATATGTCCTATTAATTTATTTTTCTTGATTCAATCACCTTCATTAGCTCTCTTTCTTCTCGTAATTCTTCTAGCACTTGCTCATTTCTTTTCTTGTATACTCATTTTGTCTTTGCCATTTTTCTCCATATCTATAACTCTGATGCTTTTAGTTTGCTTCTGTCTTTCTTGTTAATTGTCCATGTTTCACTGCTATACGAAAGCACACTCTAAAAAAATGTTTTAACAAATCTTTTACGTATGCCAATAATCAGATGTTTGAGAAACTAATTCTTGTTTTAGAATGCTTGCTTTGCCAATGCTATTTATAATAGGATAAATATGGTTTATATTAGCACATTGTTGTACATGATGATTATCTTGCATTGAGACCATTTTGATTCCAAAAAACATCAATTTTATTTTGAATATGTTTAAGTTTTGTACGGTAACCACCAAAAAAATTAAAAATAATTTTTCTAAGTTAACTACCAAAATTATATATAAATAAAAAATAGTTTACAAATTTTTATGTAACAACAAACAGCATTTTTTATTATGAAATAATCTTAATACACTAACTGTGATTAGCATCTTTCAAAATTTATTATTATAGTTTATAAAATCTTTTTATTTTATTTAATCTTAAATAGCAAAGCAGAGTAAACAAATTTGTCGATCAAAATAAAAGTTAATAACTTCAATTCTGATAATTTCACTAATATCTCAATCAAAGTAATAACAATGGGAATAATAAATAGTTAATTATTTTGTGGTGAACTTTAAAATTTGTTATCAGATTCGATAAAATAAAAGTTATTTTTAATTTTTTTACGTAGGAAATGATAAACAAAAATTCATAAAATTGTAATAGAAACACTCCATTATTTTGTTAATAAAAATCAATTTTTTTTACAAAAATACATTTATAAAAAGTATTTTAAAATAAACAAAAGTTACTTGTCATTGATTTATTCAAATAGCTAGATATTCATATTTTTCTTCTAGAAGTAATTTTAATGATATAATATATTTAATAATAGTCCTGTATGTCTTTTTATTGATCGAGTAATTAATAAACCTGTAGAATTTGTATATTTAGTCTAGAAAATCTTTGATAACTTAAATGAATAAGTCTATTGAAAAGAAATTATTACGTAATAATGTTTTACTAGGTAGATTTTTTTAACACAAAGTAAATTAGAAAATCATAAAATATATTAAGACTTCAGTACACAATCATTAATATTTTAAGTACTTATAATGGTTGAAATTTGCCATGTAAAACCAAGTCATTTAAATCAAATCACCCACACATTTTGGAGGTGGGGCTTTTTGCTGTGCCTACAGCGAAGCTTGCAAAAGGAACACAGTTCTTAGGCTGAGGACCCCACTCTCCTTTAACGTTGGGTCTGTTGAGTAAACAATGAAACCAAATATTTAAAAATATATTTGCCCCTCATGAAAAATGTCTGTGAGCGCTCTTGTTGTGTACCCCTTTGATTTATAAATAAGCGAAAGAAGTACGTGAAAATGATAGAAAACAATTTCCAAATAAATTTGTTCTTATAACTTTTTTATACAGTTAAACTTTTTAAAATCGTTGAAAGATTTTGTTACAGAATACAACTTTATCATTAATTTTGTTTTCATAATAACGCATACAATAATAATCTGTTTCAATGGGTCATAAAATACTATCAGTATTTATTCTTATTAACTTTTGTAACTGATACGATATAAAATATTGTCACTAAAAACTTATTTATGTGACAGTATGGTGAAATTATGGCTACTGTATAATAAACATATAATTATTAATAGAAAATTTGCCAAAAAAACTAAACAAAATTAAAATGATTTAAACATTTTTTTCTGTTATTTGATCAAACTAAAAATAAGGGTTTTTATCAAATAATATTAAAATTTATGTAATTTGAACCATGAATATTTAAAAGTTATTGGACTACACATTGGATCATTATTTAATAAATTAGCTAAATGATGTATGTTGTCTTTGAAATGTAGATTATACTCTTATAAAGTATTAAGATCAAACAAAAAAATATTTCAAGATTGATACATTTAAAAAACATAAACTAAAAGACCAATAAAAAAATTATCTAATGTATTTTTCTAATAGATATATATATAAATAAATAAATGTAATTATTTAGCTGAAAAAATTAAAATCTGTTTTTGGTGTTAATAGACATAAATATTGCTAATTTAATCAATAGTCTAGTCAGATGAAGAACTGGTGAAACTGTAGCCTTTTTCTCCTAAAATTATGTGAAGAATTTTCACTAAAAATTGCACTCTTAGATAAATTTTAATTTTCAGATAAAAAATAATAAAATATTGTTAAATAATAAGATGTATTTAACTATCCTCCCCTAACGAAAAAAATTCTGATCATGCCCCTGAAATTTATTCATTGAAAAAACAATTAAAAAAATGTCTAATCATTTGCTGTATATATATATAAATATTGAGTGAAATAATAGGAAAATATTTAAAATGAATCTCTTTAGGTTCAAGTAATAAGTGAAAATAATAACCCATGAGCCATCTATCGGTTAAAGTTTTACTAGTAACAAAAAAAATCAATAGAAACGACGTTTCTCTTACCTTGGTATTTGCAAAGCGACCTCGTCAAGGCTGTCAGACGGTGTTAGTGGTGGTTTTTCAAACAATCGACTCGGCGCGAGTGTCAACTGATTTCTGTGCCTCATGCCTCGCTTGCGACGTTTTTTTATTTCCTCCTCACGACGAAGGTTATGCAAACGAAAAAAGAACATTGACATTCTGAAACAATAATAAAATTAGTTGAAAAGTTGAATTATTTTCAAAAGGATCATTTATTTTGAATACTAATAAAAATCAATTTTTTCTTAAAAGTTAAAAAAATAATGCTTGATTAAAATTATATTTTCCATTTCGTATTTATACACAAGTGAATTATTGTAAATAATCTAATATATAAGATTATTTGTGATTAGAATTTTGAAAAGATAAATTTTAAAGATTTATTAATTGGCATAGAATATTGAGAGCAACGTTTTTATTTTGATATTATCACGCACAGCCTCAATTGAGTAAATGAAAAATTCTTCAGCAAGAAATTACGACTTTTTAAAAATTTATACCTTAAAAATAATATACCTTAGCTATTTTCATTAACATTTTAAAAAGATTTAAAATTATATAACATAAAATTAGGTATTTCACTTTTATTTCATACACATTTTAGCTTCGATGCGAAGCTGAGAAGGTATTGGTTTTACTATGATGTGTTTTTTTTTTTTTTTTTTTTGTCTCTGTTACCACTTTTTCTCAGCTCTCACCGAACGGATTTCTTTCAACGATACGTCAAAAGATCACAAATCGTATCTAGTCGAAGACATTACCCTTAAAAATTGAAAAAATTTCCCTCGTTCCCCGTAAATGGGGGAAACCTCCAAAAAAATTACAAATTTAAAAATCGCTAATTTTCGAAATTTTTTCAATTTTTTTTACTAAAAACTGCCCTAACTTTTTCAAAAATGAACATATCAATATAATTTTTTTTTATATAGATGCTTGATGTCTTTTCCTATCATTTGGTATATTTTTTTCATAAATTTAACCCTTTACCTACCCACAGGGGGGGATTTAAAATGACAACTTTTTCACAAAAAATTGACTTTTTCAACTTAAATTTTGAAAGTGTTCCGGAAAGTCTGACACTTTTATATATATCTTAAATTAAAGCTAATGTAATATACTTTATCATGGAAAAAAAAAATTTCGGACTTTATTTTGTCTTCACGGTGAAAATGGCTACCAAATGCTATTATTGTGTGAAAATTCTCAATTTTATTTTTTACATTTTTAACTTTATAATGCTATAACTTATTGAAAAGTGTATTGATCAATATAATTTTTTTATGGGAAATACTATTTTTTAATAATCCCTTTTTCATTCGACATACTTTATCTTAATCAGGATATTAATAAGGAACTAGCAGTTTATGAAGCTTTTGGAATAATCCACCAATTTTTTAAAATTAAACACTATCTAAAGATTTGCATCGAAGCGTTTTTTTTTGATAGTGATTTTAATCACTGTCAGATATCATTATACTTGATCCAACTATGCCACGTCACCACTGTGCCGCGACCCCCCTGTGCTGGGTTTTTTTTAAAATGAAAACAAAATTTTGACTAACAAATAATTTGTATATCAATCTAACCTCCTAAATAAAAGAGTGTATTTTATCCAAACTAATTCTAACCGTATTTTATGAAAACTATTCAATTCTGTTGAAATTTTATACTTAAATTTATATTTGTAAACAAATAATCACCAAGTCACTTATACATGTAGTAGACTTTTAAATATCTTTTTAGTAAAAAAACCTTTGATTTTGTTTGTTGTTATTAAAAAATAGACTTGTTGCGAAAAAGCACTAAATTTTTTATCAAGCGAAAAATTATCCTAAAATTTAATCTGCTATTGTATTAATTTAACTCATAAAATTTGGCTATCTCGTATTGAGATCTATTAGATCAAACATTCTCCAAGTTACATAATTCTCAAAAAACTACAAACACCTGCGATGCTAACACGATAGTCAAATATAAAATAAAAAATTAGCTTGATATTCCAATTTTGTTCCACTTTAATAGCTGGTTATAATTAAATTTTCCATTTTGTTTAAAGAAACGTGTATTAGTTAAAATGAATTGTTATTTATACGTGTACTGAAATTTGAATCAACATATTTTGAAAATAGAATATTTTAGCAGTAAAAAACGCATAAATCAGAGTTCTAAGATAAATGAACGTTGCTTCCACATTTTNTTGTTGCGAAAAAGCACTAAATTTTTTATCAAGCGAAAAATTATCCTAAAATTTAATCTGCTATTGTATTAATTTAACTCAAAAAATTTGGCTATCTCGTATTGAGATCTATTAGATCAAACATTCTCCAAGTTACATAATTCTCAAAAAACTACAAACACTTGCGATGCTAACACGATAGTCAAATATAAAATAAAAAATTAGCTTGATATTCCAATTTTGTTCCACTTTAATAGCTGGTTATAATTAAATTTTCCATTTTGTTTAAAGAAACGTGTATTAGTTAAAATGAATTGTTATTTATACGTGTACTGAAATTTGAATCAACATATTTTGAAAATAGAATATTTTAGCAGTAAAAAACGCATAAATCAGAGTTCTAAGATAAATGAACGTTGCTTCCACATTTTGTTGAAAAATATTATTATAAAACTGGATTTCAGAAAGATCTTATTATAATATTCAAATAATCTCTGAATAATAAAAAAAACTTAATCATAAAAATCATAAAATGCTATTAAATTGGTTATTTAATTTTTAATGTCATGATTGAAACATTTATAAGAATCATTTTCATAGGCAAAATTTGGTAAAGATGGTTAACGGGGGAATTATACTACAAAACATAATGAAAATTATTTTTAAATATATATTCAATATATTTAAAGATGAGAGAAATTAAGTAAATGGTCTAATTACATATATTTAAATTTAAACTATGATAAAAAAATTTTTTTAAAAAAATTAAATTTTTTAAACTGAGGCTATATAAATCATTTGTATTTATATTTCTTTTTTGACATATCTGAATTATCCTCTACTATTCCCAGCAACGAATGCTTGTTGATAGCTTTATTTAGTATTTCTGCAGACATTTGGTAACTATCAAATCATGTATTACGTATATAAGTTTTTCAATATAATTGATTTGATTCGCTTAACAAAAACATTTATTTTGTAGTATTTTAACATTATACAATACTAAATTAAAGACTAAATTATTTTCATTATACGTGTATTCTGACGATGAGTAATTTTATAGTCTAATATTTAAAATGTATATTAACTGAAACGAAAATTAAATTATTCATCACAATATTATTAATTAACAAAGTGAACCAACATAAATTTTTTTTCGTGATGGTTGGCAAAGATATAATGTGACAATTATTATTTTTTTGTTACTTTTAGTTTAAAAATACATTTATTTAAATTACGGCAAAGTATGTTCTCATTAGTAAAAAATATAATAGTAACATAAAAAAAATATATACGTAGATCAAAATTAATACACCTTTTTTAATGATACTAAAATATACTCCTTAATAGTCTTTTAAACTTAACTTTAAAATAAATAATATGTTGTTCTCAAAAATATATTTACATAGAATATACAACGTGAACCAAAATCTTACCTCAAACCTAATTTAAAAAATAATTTTATGCTTAACAAATTTAATATTTGAAGTATAATTTTAACTGAGAACCTAATTTTTGTATTTTTAATGATTAAACTTAAAACAAATTACTATTAAATTTAAAATTATTACCAGACTCATAAATCGGAAAATGTGCTTAAAAGTGCTTACCCCATCAAAAAAAATTAAAGACATTTTTTTATACATAAAAAAAATTTAGGATAATAAATAATCAATTTAGTTCTGCCATATTTTTTTTTAAATTTACACCAGTGTAATTTATAAAATTACTTAGTTTTTAATATAGTAATATATTTTGCTTAATGTTTAAAGAAAACCTTTAAACTTAAAATAACAAAATTATTTCACCGTTAAAATCAGATAATTTAACATTAATTAACGTTTTAATTGATCAATTAAATCAGAAGTTCCAGTTTGAATATAATATATAATATAATAAAATAAAAATTGATATAAATTAACTAATTTACTAGAAAATTAGTAAAATTGTCATAAACTGTAATCATTCCGGTTCTTCACTCCGTTTTGACGGCCATTTTTCATAATATAATAATCGTGGGATTGATATATTTTTATAATAACGTTGTAGTGCATTTTAAGAAGTTTAATTTGATGTGAGTCAAAATAGGACAAACGTTTCATCGGATTTTAACAAAAATTATACAATTATAAAGCTTGTTTTACCTAATATACATTATTAAAATTTCATTTAGATTATTGTTTTCTGAAATAGTAGTTTTAAAATGTTGAAAAAAAATTTGAGAGTTAGATTTTTACGGTAGCATATTTATTAAATTCCTAAAAAAAACAAGAAACAACGATAGGGGGCGTGAATAAGTGTCAACAAGGTTTACAAGACAATAATGTTAATTGTATGGTTCATTGAAAAATAAGGTTAGCTGCAAACTGTACAGTTTCTCATGGATGATATAAATTATGTATGGGTCTTATGAACTTTATTATTTAATCGCACTATAGACATTAGTAGGAATTTCAATGGAAAAGTTACACGAGCAACATTTATACAGAGAAAATATCAAGAACTTTCAGTCAACACATATAATAATATACCTTAGCTATTTTCATTAACATTTTAAAATTAAATAACATAAAATTAGGTATTTCACTTTTATTTGATACACATTTTTTTTTAAAATTCCGACTCTTTGTTTGCTCACACAGAGAATTCAAAATGGCGACTTTTGTACAATAAGATAATTTTTTCAACTTAAATTTTCAAAATATTCTAGAAATACTGTTTTTTTAAACACATGGTATATATAATTTATGTTACATAGTATAAATTAAAAAAAAAAATTATTTGGACGGCTTAACTTCCATGTGCAAATAGTTACCGTAGTTAAAACACATGTTATTGTATTAAATTTCTTTGTTTCATATTTTATTTTTCTAATAATCATAAATATTTAAAAAATATATGGATGAATTTTTTTTTGTGTGGTATTTGTATTTTATACAAACCCTTTTTATCCAACATATTTTTGTTAAATTAAATACTGTAC